GCAGCGGCCTATTTTAAAATTGTATCAATTGGTAAAGCTCCTGGCTGGAGTATTTTCATCTTGATTTATGGTTTCTGAGCTTTAAAGATGAAGAAAACTGCACTGACCTGATCCGAGCGTGCATGTGCATTGTCCCACACATATGTTTATAATCAGACCCTACAGAAACAACACATATTAGGGAAGCTTTAAAATTCTGGTGAAAGCAGCAAATTGCAAGTGAACACTGTTTAGCCTGCATTTGTCTCCAAGAAAAAAAAAAAAAAGGACAAAAAAAACTGCCCCACCTATTTTGATGCTAAATGTTTTCTTTCTCTGCTTAATATCAGGGATTTAGCACTTCCTGAGGCCATTGATAAGGTAAGGGTCTTCGAATTAAGAAACTCGTAAATCAGTGTAACAAATGTGGACATATAATACTGTGGCCTTGTTCTTGCTTCTAGATCAATGTAACTGATAAAAGAACTCTGGGCTGGTGAGGAAGGGGGCAAAGGGACTTCAGTTTTTTTTCTTTTTGTTGTTTTTTTTTTTAAGCAGGGACTGATCAAAAGCAACCCCACAACTTCGACTATTCCGGCAAAGCAGCAGCCATCCAACGCTAACGCATATTGCTTCCTTTTAAACACTTGCAGCATGGACCCCAGAGAATGCATTATTAAAATGTTCAAGAGGATCATATTAGGGTTTCAGAATAAATACTAACTTCCCACAATAATCTTCACACATTTGTCCATAGGGAATGATGGAATAATGACCCTTTGAATTTGTAATACAAAGGAGAGGCTTTTCTTCTCCCCCTCTCCTTGCCAGCAGAGTGGTGGCATTGCACACTGAAGAGCCTGCTGCTAGAGGAGAGGTTAACCCAGGAGAGGAGGCACTTAGAGAAAGGAACTTAATAGAAAAAGAATGGTGGCTAAAACAGGCAGCTGAAGGTAAGGTTTCCTCACTGAAGGGGAAATACACATTGCAAAAAAACACACTGTAGGGTTCTGGAGGAGGGTTGAGCACTGGGATGCCCAGGAATTACCTGTTCACATCAGCCCACACATACCCAACACGTGTGAAAAACACACCCCAACACAAAAAGGTTTGAGCATAAGTAGTACTTCTGAAGTTCTCTACCCACATGATTTGAATTTTTGGTATGAGAAATAACAAAAATAATACCTTAAATAATCCCAGATAAATTAACTATCAAAAGCACTGTTTCTTGTAATGTGGGTAGAACGTAAGCTCAATCCAAATCTGAGAAAATTCTCTCGGGACTAGGTTTGATGGTCCCCTAAAAATGATCTATACCTACTCTTCAGACAGATAATAAGTCAGGAAATGCTGTTTTTCTTTCGAGGCGAGTTCGTCACCGTGCTTCTGAAACAATTCTTTTTCCCCTGTCTTTTTTCTCCTCTTTTGAGAAATGGCTCGACAGAGCTCACCTTACAGAGGGAGATGCTTGATAGATTGCACATGAAAAATCTGATCTATCCCTTTTCCCAGGACAGAATTGTTCCCCACAATATACTTCGTATCCATTATCAAAGGAATTAAAACATGCAAATAGGAGAAAGGTCTGCTAAGTTATCCTGTTGCTTTGGAAGAACCTAAAGGCACAATTTATGGCAAGTGGGAGTGTTTTAAAAAACAGCAACTGCTTTAGCTGAGCTGGGGGGAAGAGAGGTTGTGCATGCAGTCAAAGCCATAAACGCTAGCCTTGGTCTGAAAAAAGGTAATTGTGCTGCGAATGCTGACAGGTCTGACAGAAGGTGTCTTCATTGAGAAATTGCATTTTGAAGTCCTTCCCGTTCCTTCAGAAATAAATGGACCAAAGCAACAGGGCTGGCTCTGACAGGAAGCGGGGATTCGGGACTTCAAATACAAACATTATGAAAAACAAGCAACATCTGCAAACAGTAAGTACTTATTTATATTTTATGGAGTGTGTGCTTGGGATTTTGACAGGTTTTTAAACAGAGCCTATATTAGGCCCATACAAAGGCGAGAATGTCCCTTTTTAAAAATACATTATGCTGCTGAAAAGCAGTCTAAATCTGCAGTCCAAGCCTCAGGTGAGCTCTGACCCCTCCTAACCTGGTCTAACAAAACACACATGTGGTGTTTGCAATAGAACAGTTTACTGCTACTTTCTCAAGGTCAGGACAAGACAGACACTTGAGGGTTAGTATTCAGCAAGCTTTTCCCTCAGCTGCCAGAGTGGCTTTGAACTTTTCCCTTTTGAACAAATAGGAAGTGAAACTGTGAGGAAACAAGTGCTTGGAATCAGAGGCACACATACCAAAAAGAGAAGGGAACCTCCCCAGAAACTATACAGATCTTTCTCAAGCAAACATAAAAAATCTGAACCAAAAAACAAACCCAGCCTGACATCCAATTTAAGGGTTTGAAATTATTCTGTGTGTAGTTTTGAAATTTTAACGCACACTCCTTTTCAGATGCTACCCCCGCTTTTTTTCATATAACAAATAATAACCAGTTGGCAGGTATGGTGCACTGTGCACTATAAAATATTTAGTAAGGCAATAACGACTCCCTGGGCAGCATAAGAAAACCGCGATTATATTCAGAGAGAAAGCCATGAACAAACAGAGGGGGAAAGAAATACAAAGAAAGATAAAGGAAGGCCTTTCATCAGGTCTTCCTGTCCAATAACACACTCAGGCTTGATCCATATGTTTTGAGAAAAATCAAAGTGTCACGACCAAAAATGTCAATAGCTCCAGTAAGGAATATTGTCTAACATTTTCTATTACACTGTTGAAGAATTTGCCTCCCAGCGCAATTTGGAAGAAAAGTCTTTTATTTCTAAAACACTAAAAAAAATGAACAAGGCACGCTTCTGTGCAATGTGTAATACAATAATGCTGTGGGCTTCCAAACTATCCTGGAAACTGATACTTTGATGAAAGTGAGTCCTTCTCCACACCTCTCATATTTTCTGTCCTCTGCACATAGACAGGGCTGCGAGGCACATCCTGGTCAGTGGGATCTAATAGCGCAATACAGCGCTCACTGGGAAACTGGAGAAGGCAAACTTTCATCAGCCTTAATATTTTTATAATCCTGCATAATGACCCACAGGATTGGCTAACCCCTCAAAATGGAGGGGGTTGGAGCTGTCCAGGAAGGGAGCATTAATTGCACTTTGCTCCAAGCTGTGTCTCTGTGTGCTGTTTGCATCCCCGTGCATACCTTGCCTTTAAGGACATCCCATTTTCTCCCTGTCATCTGTAAACAAACAATTTTATTGCTGTCTTGGCAAAATGTAAACAAAACTTAGCACCCTGCCCTGGGGAGAGCTGCAGCTAACATATGGTTTGTCTGTACCTTGGTGCACAATTTCTTTTGTATTTGTCTTTTCCAGTACCCTTCAAGTTCCAGAGGGAAAAAACACATCAGTGCTGCTGCGTCTTTATCCTGTGGAATCTAAACTAGAATTGAGCGTGTTGCAGGCAATCAATATTACTGTGAAAATTAGCCTTTATGACTGAGCCACTGTTTGCTCACGGGGGGAAAAGAAAACCTGGCATGAGTACAGCACAGCTACCGAACCATTGCTGTGAGCACACTGCAGCTCAGCTCGTGTCCCGGGGCTCTCTTCCAGAGGGTTTAGCACCCATCTGAGGGAGAAGTGGCACCAGAGGCAGAGAGCTACTCAGCACTGTGGAGGGCTTCGAATTAACCACTTGGCATCTTCCCTGGAGGCTGCAGCCAGCCCCTTGGCTAGAGGGGTGAGCTGAGTGCCAAAGAGGCGGTGGCAGAGGTGCTGCTGGGGGGCTCAGCAGGTGCTGGTGGCACTCGACACACCCCGGGGCAGCAGGCACAGCGGGTCCCTGCTCTGCCCCATCCGCTGCCCAGCCCTGCCAGGCCAGAGGGCAGGAGCAGCAGACAGCTGGGGATGGAATGCTTGCCCTGCAAGGGCTGGCTTGGGGGGTGCACTCACCTGGCCTGAGGAAGAGAAGACCTTGGGGAACCAGACAGTGGCACCCAGAACCTGTGAGGGGTTAGCAAGGAGATGGAGCCAGAGCCAGGCCATGGTGGTACACGGTGGGAAAATGAGGCACTGTGGGCAAGAGGTGATATAAGGACTGGAAATGAGGAGAAACAAGCAAGGGCACAGGTTGCCCAGGGAGATTATACAATCTCCAGCCTTAAAGGTTTTCAAGACTCAACAAGAAAAAGGCCTGAATAACCACTTCAAAGCCCTCAACTGACCGCTTTCAGCAGGAGGTTGGACAAGGGACCTCCTGAGACCCTTTCCTACCCAAATTACAAACCCCTCATGAGTTACTCACAGGAAACCCTTTTACTTCAGTGAGACAGATTTTTGGAAAAAGATTCATGCTAAAGCATTTCAGAATCTGGCCTTTGGCATAGTATCTGTCATTAAACTTCTGTACTCACTTAACATATTCCAGTACAGTATTTGCACACTCTTACAAGAACACACCTACTTACATCCAGAAGTAGATGGATTTGCTTTTCACAAAATCCAGCAAGGCTGCCCTGCCAATATTTGGTTTTATCGTACAATGCAAAGTTGTTTGTTTTCTACCTGTATATTATTAAAAGGGAGACCTAACGCAGCAATGGACATTTTTAGTCAATAAACTAAGAATTGATATCATCACATTAATTAGAAGACATTCAAAAGTGAAAATAAATCCTGCCTGAGTAACTAAATCATGCAGTTGGCAGAAGAAATGTCATAGAATTTATTTTGTAGGGAATAAACAGTAGAAAATAACTATTAGTGAGATAAGTGCAATGAGCTAGTTACTAAAAAAATGTGACTCCATGTTTGCAAATTATCTTCAAATAGAGTGGGAGCTCTTGTATCTATTTGTTGTTTAGAATTACTCAGCAAATGGATCATGTCAGCAAACTGCTGCCAGGGCTTCACTGTCAGGTTTCTTACCACAACTATTACTTTGAATATAAGTCCTTTGGGCAATCAGCAACTTGTGCTCAGCACTTCCTCACCTGAGTCAGGCAGCATTTTCCCTCTCTCCCTGCTCTCTGGGGTTGGCAGATTCCCATGCCAGCAAGGAATGCACTAGACAACCACACACATTTGACATCATTAATTTACAATAATAAGTTCTGTCTGCAAATTTTTTCATCCACAGAAAAGAGCTCATAATGTTCCCATGAAGTGAGCAAAGATGGAGCAAATACTGCCAAAGTCACTTGCAGCTTTCACTTGAAATACTACAAAATTTTTTTCAAGTATTCACACATAGCTAAAAATAACCCCTCTGAACTTCCTGATCTATTCATAAGCTATACTCTAAATAATAAATTTTAAAAGGATCATAGTATCCACAAAGGCTTCCTTCCTTTATAAATTGGATTTAGGGTTTTTTGGCTATCATACAACCCAGACATTGCATATGAGTCTAGCATACAAAGGAAAAATAGCCAGAAAAGATAAGATTTGACCAACAATCCTAGCTTCCTATTCCTCAATCCCTCATCCAAACACATACCAGGATAGGAGTCCTGTTCCTCCCAAGACCAGCTGCATTTCCAAAGGTACATGCAGGAATCTCTACTTTGTCACCAGCATTTTCATTCTCAGTTCCCTGCCACACAGCCTGGCTTTCCTGGGGGTCCATTAGCTGTGCTTGTAGTGCACATTCCTGTAGCTGGAGCACACAAAGACACAATGACACAATAAGCATTTCAACCACTTTTGCTGCCTACATTGTTTTTGAAAATAAGTCCAGCAAGAGATACCACGGCTAAGATATCAAGTATAATATAAAACCAGAGACATGACACTGTCTTATTCCTTCAGAGGAAGAATGGTCCCCAGATGACTGAAATTTCCCTCTAGTCAGTGTCAGTAAACAGCAACAGAAATAAAAAGTCACAAGGGTACAATTGTCATTAGTATGTAAATTTTAAAAGCTCAGTCAAAAATATCAATACTTTCCACTTAATTTATTACTATATAAAGATGGATGATAGTAAAATGAAACATTGATTTTCAGTGCCCTTTAAAAAATGGTGATGAAGACAATACTCAAGGACAACTACTTCAAAATACACAGACTTAAAATTAATTATTGTATTTTTTTACAAATGCTTGTTCAGTTCAATCCTATTTGATTGCTTCTGATTTGTTGTTTTTTTTTTTTTTTTTTAATGAAGTAAAGGAATAGACCATTTATGTAAAGAGCCATTTCAAAATTGATTAGATGTAAAGACAGGTTAGCATTTTTACAGTATTGACAGAAAACCATTAACCAAGCAGCCTATAGACACGGTCACTGAAAGTTAATCGAAGTGAATAGTAATTTGGTAAGGCTTTGCGTGACAGTCATACAAGCTCACTCCTTATGTTCACAGATTTTGGCTGTAACTGATCTCTGAGATGCATTGAACTGTCTCTTTTCAACGCCATGTATAATTACTTTTTGATTATAATCACTGAATTCAAACATTTTTGGGAGTGTATAACTGCTGTCACATGCTTGTTTCTAAAATTACCTGCAGCATCTCTACCCTTGCATAGACACTTGATTTAAAGAACTGCAAGCAGTCTTGGGTAATGGCTTTTCTTTGATTATTTACCTTTCAGATTGCTTGAGTCTACACTGTAAGATAAGGCTAATACTTTAAAGGAAACAATACTTGTGGGCATTTTAGGTCAATGGTTCCGAACAAATTCTGTACCACCTGACAAATATCACATGTTTGCAGCAAACGCATTCTTAATAGTGATAAGTTGCAATTAACCCCTTTTTCAAGTGGCAGAAGCAAAACACAGAGAGCAAACTAGATAAAGGGCCTGAATATAGGGACACTAAATTTAGTAACAGAGATAGCAAATAAGCGCATTTCCTCATACATGTATAATCACACTGCAGATTATTAAAATCAGGACAATAAAACTTTTTTTTTTTACCCTACTGCACACATATTACCTTAATGTTATCTTTGTTTCTGTTTAGCATTCTTAGTGCATTATTAAAAGAAAATAAACCCCAGACTTTTTTTGTTTTCATTTTATTGAAAATATAGGCATCAGCTTCCATCTGAGTATATCAAAGGTCTGTCCTATGTTGTTGTCTTGGACCTTAAAATTTCTTGTCCAACTTGAAACATTTAATCAATTAGAAACCTTGTTTATATCTTTCTGGAAATAGTTAATTCTAAGTAATAAAGCTTCTGATAGTTTTATTTGCTAGTATTTTAATGTCATGATCTTAAAACAGACAAGATGAAATCAGATTCGAATTTTATTTATATTTCCTACCCCTTGGCTTACATGCCGACTTGCAAGGTTTCAGTTCTCCACTGAGCTGGAGAACAGCATCCTTGTGAAACTTACTTGTTTCATCATCTTTTTCTCACTTCAGAACAACAAAGCCCCAAAGGGTGGAGCATTTTGAGACCATTTCCTGAGCAATGAGGGAAAGCCCTGCTGTGCTCCAGGCCCTCCAGGAGCCAACCCCTGTGGCTGTGTTGGGTTCAGATGGGAACTGACCACAGCGAACCCATCCAGAAGGATCGGCACAGAAAAGGTTTTATCTTGAGATAAAAACCTTTTTCACCTTGCACCTTTATCTGGAGGCAGTTTTTAATACAGCAGGAGGAGGCCAGTGAGCCCCTGTTCCCTCCTAAGCTGACATTACCCAGTTGGTGGGGATGTGCAAAGCCACCCTATGAAGAGCCCTGGCAGCAGCTGTGGCTGAGGGGCTGCTGTGTTAATCCTCCACAGGAAAAGGCAGAGGCCATTTGCCATCACTGGTGCAAAGTGCTCCCAAAACATGCCTGGAATTTTTTGCTGAAAGTCACAGTTTGGCCCCGGGCAGTACAATTTTACAATCTGGTCCTTGGGCAGAACAGTAATAGGGAATTTATAACGACATCCAGTGGGAGAGACAAATGGGTAATTAGGACAAACATTAAACAAAAATCTATCCCAAAGCTTTGGGAGACACAGCTGACTCTTCTGACCAAAACAGCAGCAGGATTAATTTCTCCTGATTGGCTCTATCACACAAATGTTATTCAGAGCAAGTGCTCAAGTGCTGTAGTGCTGTGGTCTGTAGTACACACCTGGCTGATGGGACCCTCCCAGCTCTGTGCTCTCAGTGCATCTCAGCTGCAAGGGCATTTTGAAGAGAACAAAATGAGAAGTTGGATGATATTCCTTGTCAAACTGAGAAGTGGTTCAACCTGAGGTTTGGATATGTGGACCATGCTAAAAGGCTTGGTGTGAAAGGACTGAAATTGTTTCCTTATTTGTCTTGAAAGGAAAACAGGAGATAAAAAAAAAAAAGAAAAAGCAAAGATGCCAAAAGCTTGGAGGCATACAAACTCAGAAACACAAACCAAAGGCTGTCTCAACCTGCAGCTGTTACACAAAATATATTCAAAACCTTCCCCAAGAAAATATCTTCCTTGCCTGCGTCTTTATTAGCAAATTCTATGAACCCTGACCCAGCTTAGAAAAATTTAATATTTTCCTCCTAAATACTTTTTAAAAAACATATTCAAGGGGCCTGGTGGAGTCAGGAAGTCTGGAGAGAGGTAATTCGACATCTGAATTATTTCAAGACCAATATGGAAAAGTATTCAAAGGCTTATTTGGACACACATCACTCAAAAGACCGCTTCTACCACAGAGATGGTGTTGGAAATGTAGACAGCTTTCAGAAAGCTATGAGATAGAGCAAGGGAATTATGGCAAATGTCACATCTCAATCTAAGATGTCTATGATTAAGAAAATTATCTTGGTAATAGGCCTATTTCCACACCCGTAAAAGCATTTAGAATTTATTAAGAATGATAAGCGTAAACAAGGAACATGGTGTAAAAGCTTCCCTCTGCTAATTTGGTTGCACTGATTAAGATTTTACGTGATGCTTCTAAATTGGAATGTCAGCCCCACACTTTGTGGAGAAGCATTGCCAGTCAGGGCCTGCAGTGCTTTGGTTAAATGTGTGGCCTTCCAGGGCCCTGCTCACTCTGAGACAAGGAAAGGAACCCATCATTTCTTTCATTTAGATAAAGCCTGGATGACTTAGTTATTCTTCACTGTCCATACCATGTGGCATAAAATAAAATGCTTCTGATTTTCCTTCTCTTAATGTATTTCTCTCCACAAAAAAATCATCTAAACATCACTTATCCACTACTAAAATTTGAAAATGAATCATGGTTGTAATTATGTAAATCTGCAGCAGCATTTTGCTAAGAGACACTCAGGTTGTGTCTGAAACATAATCAGCAGTGGAAAAGGAAAAATAAATTATTAATGTTCTTTTCTGAAAATTATTAGCAATAGCACATGATTAACAGCTACTTATCAGGGAGAAATGAGGAGCACAAATCCTGGACTTGCCTGTCTAAAGTGTCTTTTTGTAAACAACACAGACCAGTTACTCAGCCTTTTGGCTTGGTTGTTTTTACAGGAATCCTGTCACAGGCACCCACAGCAGCAGCAGCAATGGGGTTTGTCAGCCCATAGCCCAGTGCTGGGGCAGCGTGGGCAGCTGTGCCTGCCCAGGGAACAGCTCTGGCATGAGGTGCTTGGAAGCAGCTCGTTGTCATGACTCACTGCCACACATTACAGACATTTCAGACTGCTGCATGATGCACACACACACTGGGGCTGAGTCAGCAGAGCCAGCCTCTGACTGAGCAAGGTTCTCAGCACAGAATACCCAGAAGCCCCCATGCATACACACACTTTATCTTTAATTGCCCAAGCAGAATGTACATGTTTAAAATTACATTTCTTATCTACTGATGTGGCTGTATTTGTGGCATTCATCACCTAATATTAATGAGAATATTAGACATTACTTAGCCTAAGGCCCTGTGCTGGCAATCCCTCCCACAGGCAAAGAGCGTTGCCTGGATCAGGTCTCCAGGTCTTAAACTCAGTTCTGTAGCTGCAATTTTTAACTTCATTTCAAATAAAGTTTTATTTTTATTGGTTTTTACCTTTTTTTTCCTCCCTGGATTTACACACACAAACCTACTACTTACTGATTTGTTCTTTAAATAAAAAAAACAACAAAACAACTCCATATTTTTTCTGCCATTGGCTTTTTCTTAGTACAAGCAGCTCTTTTTACCTTCTGCAGAATTTTCTATTTTATGGCTCCCTGGCTCAGATTCCAGCACACAAACTTTACAGATATCAGAAATATCCCTTGTCCCAATACCAAGGTGCACTTTGAGGGTAAGAGCTAATCACACTCTGGCCAATGGTGTCTCAATCCACCTCCTTGCCTGGCTATTCCCCTACATGTCAGGTGAAGGATCCTGGGACAAAACCGAGCCATGGCAGTACTGCCTGCCTCCTCCCAAGGAAAGAGAGCCTGGTATTAGAAATCTGCACTGTCAGCTGTAGAAACAGATTGGCTCCCTGCTGCAGCACCATTTATCATCAGAGGGGTGAAAAAGTTCCCACAGGTTGTTCCCTCTGTCCTCCAGTGCAGCCATCAGAAACTGTCTCTCTTTCCCAACACCTGCCACCATTTACATCTCAGCACAGCAAGAAGAGGCAGTCCCAGGCCTTTTCCCAGTGGTCAGCTTGGCTTTAGCCTCCTCTCTGTTGCCTGGGCTCAGTCCTACTATTATGCTTCACAAATATGTTATCCACCAGCAAATCTCTTGCTAAAGGCTCACTAATGCAGGGCTGATGGGAGATGGCTAATGCCTTGTTGCCAAGTGATTTCCACTTTAATTGCATTTTAAGTCTCTTTTAATTGGTCCTTTAAAAGTCTTCCATACTGTAAGCAGAATAAAGTTATACAGTGTGTGTCTTATTAGTGCCCTCACAAAGTGTGTTCTGTAGGGGATTTTGCACTGGCATTCTGGCCCTTCTATTCATTAATTTGAAGGAAAAGATTAGCCAATGATTTGGATATTACTGCTTAACTGGTGGCTCTGGAATTAACAAATCTTTTCCTCCCATCAGAATTTTTTTAAATTCCACATATGAAATACAGTGCATGACACCATCCTAATCCTCACTAATAGTTTCTGACCTTTAGCTGCAGGCATATATTTTCCTGGGTTTTCAAGAATGAACCCCAACATTATGCTGCACTGCAAGCTCTTTCATCTCTCTCTACACTCCCAAGTTTAAACTTTCTGCTCTCTCTCAGCATTCACAAAGCCCATATATATTAAGACCATACTTCCATTGACTTCATTTTTAATATTAAAACAGGCAGTACATGATACCTTCAGTATTGACTCTACCAAGTCCATTAATGACCCTTTTGGGGCTTCACTTTAATTTACGCTTTGAAGGAAAACTGCTGTATTATGAGTCAGGGGTGAAAGAGAATATTGCTTATATTAAAGATCTGTATAAAAAGAATATCATCTTTGACCTACTAAGTCAAAGTTGAGCACTCAAAATAATTCCCACTGTAAGCACATGAAAAATATTATTATGGAATGCCCAGGCTTTCATCTGACAAGGAAGCTTTAAGGATTTCATTGTTTATGTACATAAGAGGAAAAGGTCTTTAGATTTTTTGTTGCAGCCAAGCTAAAATAGAGCCAGAGTTGCCCAGAGTCAGAATATATATCTCTTTTTCAAAATCCATGTAATTATACAAATCTGAAGTGCCACACAGGGTGTATTAAAAACATCAACTGTTCAGAGAGATCTCAAGAACTTCAACCTTACAGGTCACATTAAAGACAGAATTTCAAAACTTCCCCAGTCTTGCTGGTTTAAGTGAAATCCTTAATAATTCAGTACAGCTCTGGATGCGTGGATCAGACCCTGTGGTAGAGCTGTGCACATTGTAATGAGATAGGAGCAGATCTGCATTACAGTGAAGGATGACATGGGCTAATGGCTTTGGCTACAGCATAAAGTGTGAGATTTAAATTGACTAAAGCGAAATGTAAGGGTGAGATCTGCTTGAACACGGTCATCTGAGGCATATTCCTCCAGACTGCCCCAGGGAAGAAACAATTCAGAAAGGACACACAGGAGTCTGTCAAGGAGACTGAGCTCTGCAACCTGCTCTAAAGGGGAGCTGCTGGGGATGAACAGAGGAGCCCTGCCTGCCAGGGCTCCAGGTCCCAGGCTTTGCTGTTACACCTTCCTTTAGCTGCTTGTCTGTAAAAAGCTTGAAGGCTCCTACAACTTGCCAAGAAGGTGCTTGAGACATGGGGCAGACACAATAAAAAGGTAAAAGACTCATATGTCAATGGCACATCAAGAGATGCTAAAGGAATTTAAAGGCAGAGGACAGATTCAGAATGTGGTTCAAATCAATAAACTTCTAAGTGAGCAGGCACAGAAGGTGCCCTGCAAAAAGCTGATGAGCTGTATAGCTACTGCATAAGCAATTTCTAATGTCGGTTTTAAAATAATAAAGACTTGTTATTTGGAATATTGCACTGAACTATAAAAAAAGACATTGCAAAAGGCTAAGGAACACTTGGAAAATTGTTTTTGTAGAAACTTCTCCAAATAGCAATTGGAAAGATTTGAAATAATAACAGTTTCTGGTCCAGTGAAACAGAACTGCATTGGATGACAGCTATAAAAGGTACAATTATCACACTTTTCTCTTGAGCCTGACCAATTTTCAGTACCATCTCTGCCAGCCTAACTTCAGTTGTGGACTACAACCTTGAATTAGAAAAAGACAAGCAAACTCACCTGAAAATCAATCTACTGGAAGGACAATATTTTTCTATAAAGATCAAAGGCACGTATACATGTCTGTGTGTGTATAAACTGCATCTGGTGCACTGTTTCTTTTCATCTGGCTAACACTCAGTAACAAAATTATATTTAGATAAAAATGTGAAACATACCTTAGCATTTTCCAACACAGTCCATGCTGTAAATTCTCAAGCAGCAATCCTCTCCCCATCCAGCCACTCACCTTCAAACCAACTCTTAACTTCCATTAACTGAGTCCTACCTCAGTCAGGAAATCAAAGCAAGGCTTCTTTTTAAGGTGAGCTAAGTCTGGACTCTTTCAGTCAAACAGCAATAACCAAGAAGTCTGCTACAGTTCTACTGACCCATTTCTAGCCAGCAGCTTCAATAACCAACATAAAACCTGTCAAGATGCAGCTGGAAAAATTTTCACTTAACATGCTATTCTTTTTTCACATTTGTGAATGCCTTGTAAAAAGTCTTCAGTTAAAAACCAGTTGTGGATGAAATGGCTCAGTAGCCTGGAAGGAACAAGGCTACTTGTTAAGGGAGCAATGGAAGTTGTCTGGGTCTTCTCTGTAATTGCACTACTGACTTGGAGAAACAGACTGGGATCAATTGAAGAGCAAACAACTCACCTTCCTAAGCCTGAGCTCAGTGATTCTTACAGTGAATAGCATCAGTGAATTGCAGGGAACCAGTGCTTTGCCCTATAAATACTTTAACAGAGAATTGCACCCTTCTAACACCTCACAAAGGAAACTGTTAACTGAATCCCTTCCTACACGTCTGTGTTCTGTAGCCACGTCCCTGTGTGAGAATACTGAAGGCTGAGAAAGAGCAAAACTGCTGAACTGAGCTCATGCTCAAACACTTTGTGTCACTCTGATAAACACTCCTGTCCTCTCAGCAGCTACTCTGCTCCCCTCTCCAGTGTGCTGGGAGACAGCAGCCTGGCAGCAATGGCCCTACCCTTCTGTGCAGGGCACAATCACATCTGAAGAGATTCCCCAGCACTGGTGAGGCAGCAGAGCCTGGGATCCTGTTACTCTCACTCCCCTCTTCTGCTGCCAATTCCTGTGGAGTGGGGGCACCCCAATTCCTGCAGGGCAGCCACAGCACCCAGCAGGAGTGGGATCCCCTGCAGGTACCCTTAATGCACCAGGACACGCCTGCCCTGGTGTGTGAGTACCTGTGGGGAGCAGAAAGCCACAGAACAAACTGGGATCCTCTCAGGTGAAACTAAACCTGATGTTCTCCTCCTTCCAGCACAGCCCTGAGCTGAGTTACAGTACTTACAGCTTCCCTGAAACACCCACAGTGCAGCCTTTGGGCCTTCAGCACCACATGCTCTGCTTTTCAGGCCTGCTCTGACTTTCATCTGTGCAGGCTTTGTCCTGTGGGCCCAGGGACAGCAAAGGACAAACGCAGCAAGTGGTGAGGAGAGCAAATCTGCTCAGTGGAAATGGTGCCAGGCAGAGTGTCTGCTGGGGACTGGGGTAGGGCCCTGCTATCACAGGCAGATAACATCAAGTGATGCTAGAAGTTAAATGGCCCGTGTTCCTCCCTTTCTCATTGTGTAACCAGAAATCACATACCTCCCCTGACCCCCCCAGTATTTGGAATATATTCTGTCAAGATGTCACTGTTTTAAAACAGAGGGCTGAGTTGTGCTGCTCTTCCACAATAAATGCACAATTGCAGTAGGAATTTGTGCTGAATGAAAGACTGCAGACTACAGCCTATTAATTTTACAAATGTCTTGTCTTCAAATGCTACAGTAATTAGCTTAACTCCTTCACACTTTAAGATGCTTTAAAGTGTGCTGCAGGAATGTCTTAGATTTTAGGGCAAAGCTAATTTAAACTTCACTAGCAGTATGATCTCCTGGGATACTGCAGGCAATGTTGATTTTTATCCGCAAACTCTCCTCTTAACTGTTGCCAAGGTTTTAGATTTTATCATAATGTATTCACAAATATTTATGGAAACTATAACTCAAATATGCATTGGCTAAAATTAAACATATTTTACACAAGGTAACATCAGTGCCAGTTTATATAAATAAGTGTTCTTAGCTGCTTCAGCAGGCTTATTTGTCACATTTAGGAAAAAACACCTTTAAATCCTGACAAAGCTGTCTCATAAAAGAAATCTTAAATCTGTGGTTGTGGCTTACTTGCCAGCACACCTTTTCAGTGTGTGGTAGCTACTGCAGCAGTGGCCACGATGCTCAGAGCAGGGGTTGCCTGGCCTGGGGCAGAGCTGGGGCGCAGGGGCTGCTCCATGGGAGAGCCAACACATGCTGCACAGAGCACAGCAGGGCAGGGATCAAACCCAGGCACTTGGGGAACCCCCTGCCTCTGGATCCCAGACGTTGCTAAGGAATGAAAATTTTCCCATGATTGATCTGACTATGGGAATACTTTGGACACCAAAATGATGCAGGTAAAATAATACTCATTGAAACTTGTTCAGAGAAAATAAGGAAATGCAATATGAGAACATGTCAACTTCTGTATGTTACAGATATGGAACTTGTTCAGTGTAATAAAAGAGTCATGGGAAAAGCAGAGGCAGAGGAAACAAAGCAAAGAAGGTACTCAACATTTCCATGGCATATAAACCTAAATTCAATATTTTAAGTGTGAATATTTACTGTTAGCCCTGCAACCTCAAAAATGCCTGCAACATATGCATGTCATTCATGATTTTCTACAGTTATAATTCAGCATGCTGCTCAAGTTGTTGGGAGAAAATTTGCGGAGACAAAAGGCAACACTGAACAATGGCAAAATTAACTTTGCAGTAACCAAAGCTGGAATCCAACTCGACTTCAGATAAACACAGATAAATGAATTTATATATTCTTTGCGCTTGAGTTCATGTTTAATCCAAATTACACTAGTTAAGGGTTTCCCCCTACAAGGACAGTCACAATGTAAGAAATATTTGATCTCATTCTGCTTCTACTTTAGCTTAGCCTTATTAATTGTACCTGGAAAACATTCTCATTAATCCCATAGCACCTTCACTCCTATGTCATCAACTGGTTTTCTGCTCACTCTACATTTCTTGACAGGGAAAATGAGTTTATTCAGAGGTTTGTGCTGTCACAGCTTGGATTTAAGGCCATGGTATCACTGAGTGGCTGGGGCAGGAACCACCTAGTCCAAACCCCGGCCACCTGGAGCCAGTCACCCAGGAACAAATCCCAGCACATGTACTGGACCTTCTAAAGTTCTTTGGCCAAAAGGAAGGTGAACTCATCTGAGCCTATTGGAAAGGGAATGGTTATCAGGCAGAGCAGATAAGCAGAATACATGAGTTATAAAAAGAGCATATCTGATATGCACTTAAAATAAACATTTCCTCATCAATACATGACAGTGACCACCTCACACTGCAGTCACCTGGATGTGTGGAACAAATACAAGCCCTCAGTGATCAGCAGAGCCCACTAAGCTTCAACAAAGCTTCAGACTTGTGGCTGCAGACATCTATGGGTGCTGAAAATGGTTTGTACCATGTTTTTCCTACTGCTTTGGACTAGGCTGTTCCTCAGGGGAGGCCTTGTGCCATCACAAGTAATAGGTAGGTGTGACTGTCGCCTTTAAAGCTCTCAACTCATTTTAAAATCACTTCTTCTCCAGTTATTTTCTTGACTGGAGTTTTGACTTTGACTCCAACAGAAATGAACAACTGCATGAGCTCAGTCATCAGCTTGGATTCTGCCTCCCCCATAAACAGTGTAGGACTAAGCTGACAGTCCTGCCTTGATCTGTTATGCTGGTCAAATGAAAAACAGGAAAGGAAGAAAACCCATCTGTATTTGAAACACTTATTCCTTTCACGTGTTGTTTTCAGTTACATGTTGTGTTGCATGACCCTCTCTTTCCAGGCTTCTGGGATGTTTTCTGTTTCCACTCTGTATGCGATATAGCCACTGCTGGAACTAGGCTGCAGCCCACCAGGATTGAGAGCCAGGTACTGCTCATAATAGGAGGTCAAACTAAATGAAAGTCGGAGCCCCACCAGTTCTCACAGCTGAATTCCAACATTGGATATGACATGGCCAAGGGGAAAATATTGGATTTATTTTTATGAGTTAGTCATAACCCTAATGCCCTTAAGAGGTACTGTGAGAAGTGAATCCATTCATAAGGCCAACAAGGTCACTTTTAACTTGTAAAAATAAATCCAATATTTTTCACTATGTCTTATTAGGTTTGTACAATGCAGCAATCGCTGTGGTTTGTTTTTAAAACGTCACTTCCCCCAACGGCTCATATTGCTTTTTAGCATGATTCCCCTTTCCCATGCTCCTCAGCTCCCAAGGTCTGCATTGTCTCTTTCACTGCCTTTGTTTGTGCATCAAAACACATCCTGTTACTAAAAGTACTCCTGAGTTTTATGTTCATCTCCTGCTCTGACACAACTCCACTGCCACAGTCTCTCTTTTCTGCCTCATGTGTTTAACACATCCCTGGCATTTCTCTCAGCTGATCCCCCACAGCCTCAGCCTTCCCTGACCTCAGTCCCTCCTGCCACCTGAACTGCAACCATCCGAAATCCAGAGCAACACTTGGAATTTGTTTGTTAAACTGGTCTGACAAATAGCCTAAATTTGATAACTTCTTTTTCTTTCCTCCTTAAGGCTTCAATAGCTTAGAAAAGTTTAGAATTGCCAAGATGTGACCTGGAATACTTGTCTCAGCCCATGAAATTTGCCATTTCAGGCCATGAGAAGTCCTTGAGACCACAGGGCTGACTCAATTTGAGCAGCTTTTCTCCCCATAGACAAGAAGAGCCCATCACACATTTGTTTTTTCTCCATGGTAGCCATGCTGCTGTTCACAAACAGCAAGAAAGGGCAGGGGCTATGGAAAGATACAGCCTTATAACCAAAGAAGGGAAGTTTCAAGTGACTCCTGACACACACAGGAGTGGGAAGATTTGAAATGGCACAAGTCACACCTTCTTGTCAGCAGGAGAAAGGAGGGCAGCACTTTTTGCCCAGTGCAGTTTGAAGAGCTGAGCCCCAGAAAGTCAAGAGGAGATTGAAGGAGTAGGACAGGAAGTGTCTCAGAGGTGGTGAAAGGAAGAATGAAATACTCATCCCTTCCAAACACAGGGGAAAAATATTATTTCAGGGATGATGCTAATACATCCAGAAACCAAAGGAAAGCAGTGGATCAAATAATATGGATAGAGCAGAACAGTTCACTCTCAATATAATTCAAACTTTTGGCCAGCTTCCACTTCTGGGCAGAAGCTTTAGGGGCATTCATAAAAATCTAATTAGAAAATAACATCTCTCATGAATTATTAGCTCTCCTCATATCTGGTTGTAATAGATTAAATTAAAATCACAAAACCAGCAAAATATACTAAATCAATTAAAAAGAAAATTCTTATGTCAATCACAGTCTATTGCTTCCTTTTAAAACACTGAAAAATAAATGGTTTATGCCGCAAATCCTCTCTAGAAAATATTTGCTTTTTCCCTACTGGAGTGTTTTGAAGTTTCCAAAAGCTATGAAACTTGTATTTTCTCTTCCCCTTAGCACTAAGGAAAACAAACCAAGCAGTAAACAGTTAAAGGAACTAAAAACCTGTCTCTTTCTTTGGTTTTGCCCATGAACCCATCTGTATGTTCACATTCAGTTAAATATGATGAGTCTGTATTTTTGTTGATGAAGACAGAGCTGAGTTTGGCTTTGGTTGATCCAAATCTATACAATAATAATTTTCTCAGCCTTTATCCAAATTCTGAACAATATTCCTTCCCAGTAACAATTTTCAGTCCCTTTGTGCTAATGTAAAGGACTTCACCAGTGACTGCACAAGGTGCAAAGGAAAGGCAGACCTTGAGCTTGGTGAGGAAAGGCTCTGCAGGAGCACAGCAGCTCTCACTGCTCCCACACAGCTCCAAAAAAATGCCATGGCCACGTCTTTATCATTTCTAAGCTCCAGCTCCCTGCTCGAGTAGCAGTCCACATCATACAGTGCAATTTGAAATCTTGGCACTTGGCTTTCAATAATTCCCTGTTAGATTACTGTCTGTGGAAGAGCATATAACACAACTGCTACAAATGCTGGGAGCAAAATCTTCAATAACAACTTAGCGCATATGATAACTTTCCCAATTTCCTGCATCTACACCACCTATCTCTTTACTCTGGTCTGTAGCAGCTTGTTTCTTTATTGAACATCTGCCTTGGGATCCCCTGTCATAAAAAGTAATAAACACATCAATCCAAAAGAAAGAGTATTGCATGGCCCAAAACTACTTAACCAATCAAATTGGCAGCTGGTAGCATGAAACGAAAGGGATAAAACTCCAAGGTGCTTTTAATGCAGTATATTTCTAATGATATTACACACCTGCTGCCATTTTGCACACCTAGCTGTCTGAGCGCTTCTAATAAGTTAATTATAGATTTCAACCTTTGTGGAAATACAAAGCAATGGGATTAATTTGTAAATCTGCTATCTCACTGATATTTGACAGCTATTGCTTTGATTCTTCTTCCTACAAAATACAGATGGATTGTCTTGGGAAAAAAAAGCATTCTTTAACCAAATAATAATAAAAGAGCACAATAAAAATGCCGTGTAGCTTATTATCTACAGACCCCACAACTTGTAACTGTGACTGTAATTATAGCTGTTCAAGTTTCCCCTGCAGGTTTTGCTAAACAAACAAATGAAAAAGATACCCAAAAGGAAAAACCAAATCAATTTGTGCTCTCCAGTTATCATAATATAAATATCCATAGATTAGTTGCATAGAGAGAAGATCAGATCTAATCTTTCACCAGAGTTTCTTGTAAATTGCAAATTACATTTACTTCAGGTGTATACTGTTTGCCCAGTTAATATCCAGCTGTAAATTAGAGCAGTTTTGCCTTTTGGGAGAAAAACCTCACTTTTGAAATGTGTCTTATTGACTGTGTATAGATTACCAGCAGCTGATCCATGGAGTAGATTGGAAGGTAGAACTGCCTATAGGCAACTTTCTTTATTGATTGTAGATTGATATTCAGTTGATTTTTAAGAAGAGCAAAATAAAATAAACCTGCAATGTAATTACAAACTTTTTGTAGGAATAAGAGAAACAGGCTTCCCAGGGAAGGGATGGAGTCATCATTCCTGTAGGTATTTAAAAGCTGTGTGGCTGTGGAACTTAATGACATGGGTTAGTGCTGGGCTTGACAGTACTGGGGATACTGGTGGGCTCAATCCTAAAAGTGTTTCCCACCCCAAGTAAGTCCATGATTCTTTGATTAGCTCAGATGATATTGCTGTTTGACAAGCTGTGTGTTCTTCATCCTAACACTCACATTAGCATGCCTGGGTCAACTTTCTCTCCAATGCCCCCCTTCATTTAGGAAGGTGAAGAAGGGAGGAAGGCTGTGTTCAGCTGGTACATGAGCCTTCAGTAACTGCAGAGCCACAGAGTTTCTGGATGAAACTAAGGTCTGCATTAATGTGCAGCCTACCACACACATCCCTTAGCAAGGAAAAGATCCTCATTTGGGGTGAAACATTCTGAACAGTTGTTTTGAATACAGTGTTTGCTTTCAAAGCTTTGTCACAGTAAAAGCCACAATACCCACTTGCTATGGAGTTCAGGCTCATAATTTCACACCTGTGTAGGTGAGCTGATTTCTAGTAGGACTGAATTCTCAAAGCAGCCTTTTCCTTATAGGCATTAATAACGCCTCTCTTCCATTCTCATAAAACCAGCAGAAACTTATTCTGTTATTCAATTCATTTTGGTTCAATTCATTTTGGTTTAAATCAGTCCTTGTCTGAGCACATGGCACAACTGCAAACACT